GTTATTTAAATCATCATAATGCACTTTAGGTGTGTTTTCAATAATATACATTTTATTACAAAACATTAAACAATAAAAGTTCCTAGTACTTTTTTAACGTATGGTACTGCGTAAAACACTTTCCTCTATGAAGAGGGACCAAACAAAATTTACATAAGTATCTAGATTCGCTCCTTTTTCCATGGGCGTGAAAAATGAGAACACTCGTGACGGTCCTTAACAGATGGCGCGCGAAACACGAGAAAACTCCTGAGCGGTACGAAATGTGTTAAGACTGAGTTTGATTTTTGGTTATTTGCAGTACGAATCCTCACTGGTGACTCCTGAGTCATTAGCACATAAATAATATTTAATCCCAGGAGAAAATGTAGAGAAGGAACATTGAATTCTGAGGCATCTAACATTAGCCACTGGATCAAGGAAGAGGAGCATAAGAGAGAAAGAAGAAACTGACAGACACAGACAGAGAAGGAGGAAAGTGTGGAGCTGCTGATCCCAAAGAGGAAATGCTTGAAGAATGAGGGCGTGGTCACCTCTTGGAGAGTTCCTGGGAGTTTGGGTCACAGGAGGGCAGAGACAGGACCCTTGGAAATGGCAGCACACAGCTTGTCAGTGACCCCAGCAAGAGCAGTCAGTGGAGGGTAGGGTGGGAGATTAATAGAGTAGACTGAAGGGGAGAGGGGCTAGGGCAGTGATGGCGAACCTATGACACGCGTGTCAGAGGTGACACGCGAACTCATTTTTTTGGTTGATTTTTCTTTGTTAAATGGCATTTAAATCTATAAAATAAATATCAAAAATATAAGTCTTTGTTTTACTATGGTTGCAAATATAAAAAAATTTCTATATGACACGGCACCAGAGTTAAGTTAGGGTTTTTCAAAATGCTGACACGCCGAGCTCGAAAGGTTCATCATCACTGGGCTAGGGAGTAGAGACAGGGAATAGATACCCATTTTAAGAAGTTTTGCTGTGAAGCAGGGAGCAGTGAGTCCGGAATAGAGGGTTCTGTGGGCTTAGAAGAGCTTAATTGCTCTTGTCACGTGTTTCTTGAGAATGGAAACCTGAGCATGTCTGTATGATGATGGGACCCTCCAGAGAAAAAGAACAAATAGAGGATGCAGGGGAGAAGACACAAGGGCAGAAGTGATGTCCCTGTGAAGGTTCCGGAGAACAAGAGGAGAGCCTCACAGGGGCAGGACCTCTTCTGCCTTCTCACAGGAGAGCACAGACAGCAGGAGTGCACACAAAAGCAGACTTGTGGCTTTGTGATCAGAAGTCGGAGAAGAAGCCTCTGTTCTGTTTTCTCGGTTGAGTAGCAGGAGCCTCATCTGCCAGGAGCGGGGAAAGCGCGAGATAGAGTGCGTGTCGTCATTTCTCAGCAGGGCGGACACTTTCTTCCTTAGGCTCTTAGAAAATGACCTTCACATTCCCGAAGCTGCAGCACTCTTTACGGGAAATTTGTCTACAAATTCTAAAAGGGGTGCTTTATGCATTTTTGCAAGTTTTACTGTGCATAAACGGGTGGAGGGGGGCGCTGGGGAGTGGCATTCCTTTTGCAATCAGTTTAAGATTCTATGCCATTAGGCAACTGGATTCAGATTCTCTTGAAGACCAGTTTTGTAAAAGGGAAATTTAAAACTTTGATCTAAAATATTTATAAGCCAGTGACATTTACATCATTTTCTTTGGGGCCCGGAGCACCTGTTTGCCAGTCGAGTTTGTTCACCAGCTGTGGTCTCTATTGACACAGCCCTAGCTTTCCTTCTGTCTTTAAATTTCCGCTAGTTCTTTTGTATTGTGAAAGGTTGGAGAAGTAATTTATAACACCGAGCCAAAGCGATAACTAACGTATATATTCTTAATGGCCTAGATGAAGAATAAAATATCATATTCCATTTCTCTGGACAGTTTTATAATAAGCGTCAAGTTGAGAAACTGCTTGATGTTTCAAGATGATTAGCTCTGACTTTAAGTTATAAGTTGTGGGAGGTTCTTACTGTATTTAATTATAGATTTTAGCTAACAAAATAATTTAAGTTAATTAGACCACAATAAAGACCATGTGGAGGAGGAAGGAGGTTGGATAACTGTTTTGTGAACACTGCTGGATTTGTCTTAATTTTAAATAGTGCAAAATAACTTATTTTGCATAAATCCACGTAAGGGCCCTAAAGTCCGACTTCTTTTGTATGTAACCTCCCTAGCTGTGCATTTCTGAAGACCTAGCACCTCCATCATAGCCACCTGCAGTGTTGGCTACAACCTCGATGAGACATGTCTGAGAACAAGGACAGTTCCATTCAGGCAAAGTAAAATCCAGGTCAGTCCTATTGTCTATGAAGCAAAGAACACGGAGTGGAGATGAAAATACAAGCCTTGTTAGTTATGTTGTTCGAAACATGTGGCTCAGAAGAGAATCAACCCACATGCTCCAAAAACACAGTCACTGGGCCAGTTCCAGGCCTTTTGAAAGGCCATTAGTTAAAACCACCTTTAAAATGTTTTGTTACAATAGAGGATTTCAAACATGGTTTCTCTGGACATCAATATACAACTATTTGAATTTAATACTATTGATATATATACTTTTATGCTTGAACTTTAATATGAGTGCATGTGTTGTGTGTGTGTATTAAAAATCCCTCTACTTGAGTGAATGGTAGGGGCAGTGACGGGTGAGAGTCCAATAGCTATGATCACATTTTTAAAGCTGCTTTGAAAAGTGGTTCTCTTTTTGCAATGACTGGGCCAGAGCCGCAGGTCATGAGTAGAAAGTATTAAGAGAGTGGAGCTCCTGAATGACCCTTACTCTGGAAATGCCAGATAAGGATTCGTTGGGATGGACATGTTATTGGGATTATCAGTAAAAAATCTGATGTGCATTCAGGTTGCAGTCAGGGAGTGAAGTTTGGGATCAGCTATTAGCCTGTCAATTTAGCATCCATAATTAGCATAACCTTAGTTTTTATTTTTTCTTAATTGGGGCAAGTTATCTTTGTCCCCTGCCTAGCTCAGAAGTAAAGGAGGTGAGGGCAAGATGTAGAAAAGGAAAATAATGTCTCAATCATTAACTTAGATTTGTGCCTTTTCTCTTGAATCTTCTTGTTCTTAGTAAGAGAATGCCATGCTCTATCACTGGGATTGTGAAGCCTGTTACCAGCTTTGCTACTGGTTCAGCGGTAATTCCGAGTCAGGAGCCATTTAGCAAAACTGTTTGCTTTTTGTCAAGTCATCCAGCCCTGTGTGCAGTGACACATTGCAGGGCCAAGTGGGGAAGCGAGCACAGCCCTGTCAGAGACGATGAGCTAGAGCTGGGAAGAGATAGGGCATCCGGTGACCGACATCACTTTACGACTCACGGAGCCCCATCCCGTTCATAGCTGAAAGAAAACCAAACCACCCTGTTCCCTTCCAAGAAAAGCAGGCAGGTTTCAATTTGCCCTTGGATATGTCCATAGCCAGAATTTTTAGGCAGAAGATAATGGAAGATTTAATGTTTTTTCTCCTTTTATAAAAATATTTAGGCATATTAATCTAAAGGAGTAAAATTTTGGATAATTATACCATTTTCTTTTGTCTACTGTTTCTGTCAAATTGAAAGGGAAGTGTAAACTACAAGTATAACAGATTTGAGATGAAATCCAAGATTTGAATGTGGTCTAATTTTGCACTGCCCTGTGGTCCCCATTCCTTTCTCTGTCACCCAATGCCAGAGTGATTTCCCAGTTGTGTGTTCCTAATGCGGTTTTTTCAAAGTGTGTTTCACACAGAACCAGGATTGCTAAGTGCTCCCTGTGGAAGGATGACACATCTACTCTGTATTTACATCAGGCTTGGCCTAGTGACTTACTTCAGCCAATGAAATGGCAGATACAATGCTGTATGCCACTTCCAGCAAAAGCTGTAAGACCTTCACAAGATTCCACCATTTTCCTTTTATCTCCTCCATGAGCCCAGCAATGGCCCAATGGGAGCTGCCCTTTTAGCCTGGATCTAAGAGTGAAGAAGATGTTGATAAGAACTACAGTCATGTAGCAGCTGTTATGTAAAGTGAATAAAAAATAAAGCATTGTTGTTATAAACCACTGAGATTTTGTTACTGCAGCATTACTTAGCTCATCCTCACTGATATATTCCCAGAAAAAGGGTTGTGTCAAATAAATTTTGGAAATAGTGCATATGCTATTCCAACTAATAATAATGTACATTGGCATTTTAAAGAATGTAAAAAAAATATCCTGCAGAAAAAAACTATTACCACTGAGATCTAGCATTTTTGCAATTACCTTGATTAAAGAATTATTTAAAAAATAATGTGTAATAGCTTTTCATCAAGCACACATTTAATGAGGTGCCCTAATGCGCTTTTGTTTTGTTTTCCTGTTACCTGAAAGATAGATTGATTCGAGTAGCTGGTAGGTCTTGCAAATACTTAGAATTACTAGCTTCATTTATTTGTTCATTCATTCATTCCATAATGAAAAACTATAGCAGGTACTATAGCTGGTGTTGGAGAAACTAGGGTCTCCCCATGCTATCTTGTGGATGTGTAAGATATATCAGTGTTGTGAATGTCTAGAACTCAGTTTAACTTCCTACTGCATGCCTACGCTGTGACGGTACCAGGTTTTGAGAGTATGATTACTGCTGGTCACTTCTCAGATGCCATTGACTAGTTCCACATGGTGGCTTCAGGACTGGGAATTTGATGTTGTCCTACTAATTTCATGCCAAGCCTAGGGCATGTGGAAATCTTTGCAGGGCTCCCTACAGGCCTGCGTTTGTCGGCACATCATCCAGCCACTCCTCCCATGGCCTTAATGGTGCTCTGGGCCCAATTAAGAGCACAGTAGGCAGCATTCTGTGATGGCCTCCAAGCTCCTTGTCCTAGGGGTTCACATAGCTTTTCTTAGTTATTCAACAGACAATAATCTAGGTGCTGCCATGAAGGGATTTTGCAGGTGTAAGTGAAGTCCCAAAGCAGTTGAACTTAAATTAGGGAGAATACTCAGGTGGGCCTGACCTAATGACATAAGTCCTTTAAGAGCAGCACTTTTCCCCCTGCTGCTTGCAGAAGAGGAAGTCAAAGATTTGAAGCAGAAGAGGGATTCAACACGCCATTGCTGGCCTGAAGACAGACGGAGAGCAGCCCTGACTGACTGACAGCTAGCAAGGCAACATGGGCCTCAGCCCTACACACGCAGGAAACTGAGCCCTGGCGACCTGAACGAGCTTGGAAGTGCTCTCTCCGTCTCTCCAGACAGGCACCCAGCCTGGCCGACACCGGGGTTTCAGCCTAGTGACGCTCTGAGCAGAGACCCACACCAGACCGAGCCCATGGGATGGTGGATTACAGAACTTCAGAGCAAGCTGGACCCGAGAACTGGGGGCTGATGAGTGTTTCAACTGCTGGGCGTGTGCTCATTGGTTGTCAGCAATGGGAACTAAGACGGGCACCAAAGGCCTTGGGTCTCTCTTCTCTCCTCCTCCTGCCCTGGCCTCCATTTCCAGTTTGGAGGAAGCGAGAGGAAAGCCCGTGTAGCCCTTATTTTTTAAAGGCATTCTCTTTGTAACGTCTCCCTCTCACTCTTTCAAACCTCGGATATGTTTTCTTTAAAGGTTTAGCCTTAGAAAGCAAAATCCAGAGACTGCAGGCTGCTCTCCCTCCTCTGCCCTGAAACACACTCACAGCACCATCCACTTCCCCGAGGGGATCAGAGGCTACTTCCTGGTCAAATGTGGGGAAAGGGGAGAACTCACAGGGAGGGGAAACACTCCACAGACTAGTCTCTTCACACAGTGCCCATCCCATGACTACGTCCCACACCGCGTGGATTTGGTCGTGGCCCAGGAGCTTCCCAGCAGGGACCTCAGAGGCAGCGTTTGATCAAGAGCAGCCGGGCCTAGTGCACCCTGCCTGGCCCTTCCCTTGGTTTGGCCCTTAGTGGTGCAGCATGAAACACCAGCTCAGCCATTGAGAAGCAGAGGAAAGCCGGGCCCCAGGCTCTGGCCAGTGGGTGTGGCATCTGCTGGGAGCATTACCCTAAGGTAGTGGTTCTCAACCTGTGGGTCGCCAACCTGTGGATTGCGACCCCTTTGGGGGTCGAACGACCCTTTCACAGGGGTCGCCTAAGACCATCGGAAAACACATATATAATTACATATTGTTTTTGTGATTAATCACTATGCTTTAATTATGTTCAATTTGTAACAATGAAAATATATCCTGCATATTAGATATTTACATTACGATTCATAACAGTAGCAAAATTACAGTTATGAAGTAGCAACGAAAATAATTTTATGTTTGGGGGTCACCACAACATGAGGAACTGTATTAAAGGGCCGCGGCATTAGGAAGGTTGAGAACCACTGCCTAAGTTAACTGCAAAGCAAGTAGCCATGAAGGAGGTTTGGATGGTGGGAATCCTACAGACTCCTAGGCAAAGGGAGAAACCGTCGGGTGACATCTCCTGGCCTCAGGCTCTGGAGAGTGTGGACCAAGCCCTGCTGAACAATCCCATAAGCGCAGGTGGCTCACTGGGGCCCAAGTAGGGGGCAACCTCAACCCTGGAGCATGGATTGTGAGGGATGGAGCTTCTGAGAACCTCAGAGGAAGCCACTTTGGAATGCCTTCCATCAGGGCAGCCTTGAGGGAAAGGGGGCAAATAGAACGAGCAGTTTCCAGTTGTTCAGCGCCTGTTCGTGCCCGGCAGGTGCCATGTGTTTCCAAGTACTACTAGCTCAGCCTCATAACACATCTGCAAGGCCGGCAAATTCCCATTTCAAGGAGGCAGTTGAGCCCCAAAGAGCTGCCATCCTAAGGGCTCAGTCAACACACCTCAGAGTCAACCAGTGGAGAAAGACAGGGGCGGTGTCATCAGGGTGTAGCCCAGGGGATCCCACTGTCACTGCTGTTGTCCTCCACTCTCTGAAGCAGGCTTCCTGTCACATGGCATCCCCCACAGGAGACCACCTGCAGGTTGGAGGGGGGAAGGACAACCACGTGGCTCGGAGGTGGTGTAAATGGGCACCTAGGGCCGCGATCGGCAAACTGCGGCTCGAGAGCCACATGCGGCTCTTTGGCCCCTTGAGTGTGGCTCTTCCACAAAATACCACGTGCGGGCACGCACGTACAGTGCGATTGAAACTTCGTGGCCCATGCGCAGAAGTCGGTATTTTGTGGAAGAGCCACACTCATGGGGCCAAAGAGCCGCATGTGGCTCGCGAGCCGCAGTTTGCGGACCACTGACTCGGGGATCTGTTTAAATTAACTGTCAATTAGCCCACATTGGATGGGGAACTGGGATGACTTTGATCTTGGTGGCTGCAGGGTAACCTAGATGCACTGTTGTGGTACCTCCAAAATGTGGTTCTATTTGTTTGCACTCAGTTTGGCTTCAAACTGAGCTCAGCTCTGTTTCAGGTCCCTAGCACAGGAATGGGGAGAGTTACTCCCTCCTCTTGGTCCAATAGCATTTATTCCAACTGCTCCTGTAACAATTACCACACTGTGAAGTGTGTTGTCACCAAGAAGTCCACCTGCCACCATTAGTATTTATTCTTGTTTCTCCAAGACCCTAGTAAGTCCAGGATATAGTGGGTTTTTAGTGTTTGAGAGGACAAACAGAGAAATCTTTGCATGGTCCTGGCCACCAAAACCTAAGGGTTTGGTTCCAGAATATGTTCTGACAAATTGGCCAGGGTCCAGTCGCACTGGAAGCAGAAACATCCGTGACCTGCCTCTCTGGTGCTGGACCCAAAGGATAAGCACTCTCCTTGCTGAGCTAGGACGTCCTAGTCAAGGGGCAGAAGGTAAAGAACACGGTTTACAGAGCAGTTGCTGAGGTGGTGCCTGGAGCCCAGGTGAGTTGTGGGTCATGGCATTGAGCTAGTTCCGGTTTCCGGATCAGTAAAAATCAGAGTCAAATCTCAGGCTCTTAGAAGTGAGCAATGCTGAGAAGACAACAAGTCTTCCTGAAACACCTCCCCAGGAAGCAACGCAGAAGCTTGACTGCTCACTCTGAACATTCTGACCTTGGCTTTGATTCCTGTTTTGAATGTGCAGGTGGAGGAGGGAAGTGAGACAGGGAGTCGAGGGGCAGCCCCTCTGCAGTGGCTGTGCACCCGCATCCCAGGTGCCAGTGAACTTACTTCCTCCTCTGTCATCTGCCCGCCCCCCCCCCCAGATATTATGATTAGAACACATGTCTAATGTGATCTTAGGATCAAAGACTCTGAAAACATCTCTGTTGAAACTTCCGTCCTTCACTCTTCCTGGTTGGATCTAAGCTATATGCTCTTTTGTGAGTCAAAGAGATGTGATCATCTGTTTCCTTAAACTGACTCAACTCTTGGCAAACTTGGTTTAAGATGTTGGGTAAGTTCTGAGGAACGATGAAACTCGGTTCACATTTTCTTACGATTTGTTCCCTACCCTTGCCCACATCACCCCCTTGAAATGTTATTTACTGGGCATCAAAAACAATGCCTGCCTTTCCTTTTCAGCTCTGGTTCCCCGCAGCTTGCTGACATTGGAAGGGGCCTGGGCAATTCCGCTGTGGGTTTGCAGCATCCTGAGGCAAACTGGCTGCGTGTTCATACTCTGAACTTTAGAAGGACAGGAGCAGGAGAGTACTGTATTGTCACCTTATTAATGAGGCAGCGTTGCTTCTTTGGTATCCTTGCCATGGAAGGTGAGCTTTCCATCATCTAAGAAATTTCAGAGGCAGAGAATTGCCTTCCCTCTCATTTTCACCTCAGGGTGACTATTTGGAATAGGAAACCTAGGACACAGAAGAAATAAAAAGCAAACCCAAACAAAAAAGCCAAAAAACAGCCCTAGAGGCGGCCTGTTGGCTCTCCACTAAGCTCTGCTCCCCACGTACCCTCTTACTGGGGTGGACCGGGTTGGAAAACAGTTCAATGAAAATCAGAAGTTGAAGCTCAAGCCTTCTATTAAGATGCAGGCCTGTCTTTGATATTTTTGTTTTCCTCCAGAGACCTTTCACAGAATCTTTCACTGTGAAAATGACTCTGAATAAGAGTCAGTAATTACCACAATGACCATTTAATATTTATCATGTTAAGG